TTTGGTATTAATTTGCATTTTCTGCATTAAACAAAGTGAAACTGGCATACAAATGCTGACAGAAAAAGCACAACTTGTCAAAAATAAGCTTTGATAAAAAGACAAGGGGAAATTAAAGCTCCCTGTTCCTAAAACCTACGAGGCTGAATGAGAAGCAAAACACTGTAATGAACTCAAGATGGACTTCTTGTCTTGCAGGCTGCTTGTTTGATAGCTTTATGGTTCCCTTTCTATTCTGTTTGCTCTGTGGTTTCTCTCAGAGGTTTAAGAAATTACAAATGTTAAAGCTAAACTAATCTGAGCCAAAACAGATAAATAAAAATGGGACCAATCCAGGTCACTATCAGTGTCTTTTGATACTGAAATCATTCTGCATCCACTGGTTCCACATGGTCCTATGTTGCTGCAACTAACATGAATTGGACCAGAAATTCATGTTAGTTACAGGACTAGGAGAGGACTGGATTTTATTAGTGAAAATTCTGCCAAAAATATTGGGAAAAAAAGGCAAAAAAATTGTTAGCAGAAGGGGGGCTACATGGGTTGCAGAAATTTATTTTATTCCATTCTGCTGTCAATGATCATTACCACAATGTATATAATCTGGAAGTGTTTTAGAAGTCACTGACACAAGGATCTGAAAAATTCACCAATAAACGCCTTGTTTAAGCTAAGGTGTAAAGAACAAAGGCAGCAGAGAATTCAAAGCGGTGTCCAATGCAATACCAGCATGTTATATTTAATATATACACCATAATCCAAAATGACTCTAAATGATCAGGAAGATGTTTCTGCATTGGAAACTATACTGACAGATGTTTAAATTCAGATATAAGATCTAGACCTCAAAGAAATTGCATCAGACCATCTCTAAATAAATTATTTTGGTCAGAAAATCCTTGAAATATAACCTTAGTTCTCTGTATTAGGAACCGTGTCTCAGTCTCTGTGCTTCTGCAAACAGCCCAAATAATTTTTTCACGGCTGCATCCTTATTTTTTCCATCACTGGATCTGGGAATCCTTTGAAGCAGGTGCTGTAAAACGTAAGCAAACATGCTGAAATGTTATAGTTGTGCTTTATTCTCCTATAGAACTAGAGGCGAAAGATAGATGCTGGGTGAAAATTAGTTTTATTTTTCAAAACAGTAACATCAAAGATCAATGTCGATGGCTCACAGTGCAGTGGTGCTGGTTCCTCAGCACGAGAGCTCCAAAACAACAGGACTAATGGACTCATCAAAAGAAGAACCCTGACCTCTGAAACGGATGATAAGATGGGTGGGGTGATCATGCTGTTTTTATGCTGCTGAACCATAGTGACCACAAAATGCACAGTGACCTCTTCTCACTCTGTAATTAACCAATGGGGCACGCCCCTCTACCCCCACCTCCGACAGCAGACGACGTGTAACAGAGAGCTACTTCAACTGAGAAAACAGTCAAAGTGACATCGAACTAGTTAAAAAAAGAACTAAACCGTCACTTTTGTTATTTGAGTTGGTGGAAATTTGACAGGGATGAGGGGGTCAAAAAGACTGGGATGCAGAGAGGAAAGAGGAGACAGGAAGACACCGAGCAGAGAGATTGTGATGAGGGGAGGGGAAAAAAACATGCAAACAGAGGAAATGAGTAATGGAATGAGAGCGATATGGAGGCTGTCGGGTTTTTTTATTTTTTATTTTTTTCTTAACTTTCAGCCGATGCAGGTTTTTTTCAGGAAATAGAACTGCTGCAGTATAAAGCACAGCCTCTGGCAGCTACATCCAGAGTTAAATGATACAATAATCTAAATGTATTAGAGCACCTTCTCCAGCTGCTTGCTGGGAAAAACAAGCAGCCCTGACAACTCTCGCGCATGTTTCCCTGCTCCCATCAGTGTCTCTGAGTAATGTCTACAGATGTAAGTTGAATCTCATCTCTTGCACTGCTTCTGTTCCTTCCCTCAAACTGTCCTTCCCTCCATCTCATTGGAAATGTTACCTCACACTCAGCTGTTTTATTTAGCTTTGAAGAAGAGAAAACCATGATTGGAGGAAGGTAGATTTTGTGTGTGCGTGTGTTTGGATCCAGTAAAAGCAACAAAGAAGAAAAGCAGTGATGCAGGAAAATATTCCCTTCTGTGATGAATAATTCAGTATCTAAGTTAGAAAACGATGCTTCTACTTCATGCTCATCCTTCTAGATTATGAAATTGCTTTGCCTGAGCGTTGCCCCCGGCACGACAAAGCAACAAAACAGTTCAGACTTGACTGAATTCAAGGCTTCACGTAGGAATCTCTTTCTTCTGGATTGTAAACCTGGAGAAGTCGGATGAGAAAATCACTGGCTAACGTATTCACATTTTTCAGCCTAATGAACCGTACTCCTTGGAGTCCAAACTAAATGTTTTATGGCCTTTCCATGTGACCTTGAAAAATCAAAAGGATCAACTCCCCTTTTCTTCAGATTCTTATCCTAATATGTTCTGTTGTGACTTTCTGATATCTTCTCTTATTCCATAGGCACAAAACAACCAGGCCGGTCACTTAAAAATAAAATGTGGAATATATGCATATTCGACAGAGATTTTTCATCGTCTGCATGTGTTCTGAGGTCCCCCACGGTCCACTGCAATCAAACGCACAAAGCATGAACATTTGTATGTTAACTAAATGTAGGTCTGTATCGCCCAGGCAAAGACAAGATAAAACAGGCGCAAAACAGAGGTGCAACACAGAGCTTTAAAGGCAACAGGAAGGCTATGTGGCAGCGTCTTGTGATGGCGCTTCGAACAAACAGCTGTTGTGACTGGATGAGTCTGACACCCTTCAAAGAACAGTGTGGTGTGAAGGTGAATCAACCCAAATGAAGATATATTTGTCAGCAACTGCCACCCAATCAAATCAAGTGTCCTCACCTGCTGTTGTGTGATCTACCAAGAAAGAGCGCATTAGCCATTTGAGTCAGAGGTTGAAAAGAAAAAGAGAGAGAGATACATTTTCCATCTATAAGACACACACAGGCTGTGTTTGGTTGTAGCTGATGTTCTAAAGCCTTAATCCCTTTTTAAACCTGTTTGACTGTCTAACAGATTGACTATCCAACACCGGAGTCCAGTCTCTGCACACCTCAGTGGGTGTCAAAGCTACCAAAAGACCTGCATTGACTGGCAAGAGGTAATAAGGTGTTCTCTATGTGCCTCTAAGTGCTTTGGGACTATTGTTCCTCAGTGAGAGTTGTAGTCTACAGACAGAGAAAAAAAAAAAAAAAATTTATGCTGATAATGGCCAGATAACTCAACATGTGTTGGCAAGAAGGACCAAACTGTCATGAGCACAACTGATATTAGGTAAGGCTTTTTGAAGAAGAAGAAATCTTAATTGAAAAAAAAACAGATTAACATATAACTTTAGTAAAAAGCACTCTATGTATCTAGAGTTCTGAAAGGCTTCACTTTTGAATTCCTGACGTCTCTCCACCAATTAACTGTCTGCCAGAGTCGTTGACATGTTTTGACTATGACTTCTTACCAAGCCTTATTTTGCACCCACATGCACAAAGGCATCATGGAGTTTTGATGCATTGTTTACACCCTCTGCTGTTTTCTGTTTGTTTGATGCTTTATTTATGTAATAGAGCTATTTTGCCAACCAGACGAATTGAGAGTAAAGTAAGGGCTTGTTACCTCATGCTGCCGGGGATCTATAATGGATATCAATTTACAATCAATTTCCCAGCTATTCAGTCGTATAGATTTCAGACTTCTTCTATCTGACAACGTGCTGGGGATTTATCGGAGCGTTTGATTTGTTGTAGGCGTTGTAACTTTGGGATTTGGGAATGATGTCACGTTTATCAGTTAAGCTAAATCCATTATTGAGCTTTCCTAATTGTTGTGATGCTAACAGCTAATAGCAAAACTATTTAACAACAATGTATTTTGGAGTTCACATAGTGGAAATTGGAAAATCTCATTTCTGAGAACAAAGAATGTATTTTTTGTTTTTCAGCCTGACGAAAAAGAGGCAAACTAAAACCTTAATGATAAATTGAAAACATTCAATTTACTTTATATTTGACTTGTTTAGGAAATTAGCAAACCAGGAAAATAACACTACATACTGAGGGACTACAGTCCCAATTTGCCTGCTCTTCATAGTATGAGCACTCCTCAAATTTGAGGTGATTGCTTAGCTCAACAATAACCTGTGAGTCACCAGCCAAATGGTGCAGCCATCCCCTCAGAAGCAAGACGTGGAGTCCAAGAGTGGAAACAAACAAGTTCAAAGCCAAGAAGCTAAACAGTTAATGAGGCTTTTTCTTTATGGGGATGATGGAATGACGGATACAATTGAGTGATTTTTATTGTTTGGTGCCTCTCCCAGTAGACATTCCCAATGCTCTCTAAAGCTTAAATTATACCAAGATTGCATGGGAAGAGTAAAAACCAATTCACACCAAAACCAGGTCATGTCTGTCTTTTTTAAACTTTTTGCCGTCTTGTGCAGTTATATGGCAGAGACATTTACATCTCTGCCTCTAAAACTAAAGCAATCTGAGTTCTGCTAGCTGAAAGTGCTTTGGCACCAAAAAGGATGGGTCTAATTGTACATACATGCACATGGGTGTGTGCAGATAAAAATGTTGGCAGGATGAGAGCTTCTGTTGTATTGACAGTGGGATGTAAATTGAGGACAATAACAGCCTTTCCATTGTTGGTAAAAACCTGTTAGCTGTTGGCAGGTCTGAGCGTGAGCCAGACATAACAACTGTTCACTTTCCCATTTACTGACCGGAGCACAGGAAGGAAGGCTGGTAGAGACAAAATACCAGAGAAGTTTTTAAGGTGTGTGTCCTTTCCAAAGAACTTGTTGGAAAATCATCCCCCACCGTTTCTATTATGTTCGCCTTTCATGCTCATAAATCCATCTGCATGTGACACGATCCAATAACACGGAGCCATGCCCTTGGTGTACTCCCATGAGTGTTTGTGCTATTCTGTAGGTCTACCGTACTCACAGCAACAAGGATCTGCACGCTGCTATGCATGACCTCGATGTACTGGTAGTCCATGAAGCAGCCCATGACAGAGATGTAGGAGTGGCTCTCTGTGGTGCGGACTCCGGGGGCCTGTGGCATCTCTCTCCTCACACAGCCGGGACCGTGCTCGCTCCACCAGGAGTGATGAGCCGATATGTTAAATGTCAGCAGATCACTTTCCTGGAAGAAAAGAAACACGTTAACCTTTTTGTGTGGTTTCTATTATTTATGAGACATATTCACATAATTTTTTATCGAGAACGAGCACCAAGTTGTTCATGAAGGGATATTAAGTGTATGACCATTAAAGAATGTTGCGATCATGCAAGGCGAGAATAAGCAATTGCATATATTTACCTAATTATTACACTTTATTTAATTCATCAGTTGACATTCAAGGTCCTAATTGCCTCGACATACATGGCAGAATCCAGTTATTTACATACACGTCATAAACTTTTGTCTTCTCTGTCAGACATTAACTCAGACTAAAGTTTTTCTGTATTAGTTTGGTTAGGATAGCTAATATTTCTATTTGCTAAATGGCAGAAAAAAATAAAATATTTCAATATTTTCTACACATTTATAACTTTACATACACTAAAATTTCCAAGGACACAACAGAAAAGATGGGTGGAGGGGGGATCAAACCGGCAACCCGCTAATTGCAGGGCAAACTCCTACCACCGTTGCCACTATTGTCCCATCATACTTTGCACTTCTGCCACTGATTTGTATACCTAAACTGTAACAAGGAAAGATTAGCCAGGAGCAGAGCTGCACAATTTGCTGCAGTATCATGGTGCATGATGATTGTTTGGATCTGATAATTATTAAGCCGTTATATTTCAAATTCTCTGCATGCCAATGAAATATACACATAGTACTCGAAACTCTTCATTGTCTTTACACCCAAAATCTACTGTAGGGTATTGTAACATTAGAATCTAATAAAGGCCCATGAATTGAACTTATATTCATTCGTTATTGAGTGAGAGGTAGCTAGCGGTGGTTATTGATACGGCCCCATATGTGTTGTTGCCCAGGGTGGCCTAGGAGCACCCAATTATCCATATGATAAAATACAAAGTATCTATCAGTTGTGACCTGAGCAAGATTTCAATTGTGTTTATGCATGTGTAATGAGTAGGGAACAGAGATCCCTGTGTGGACCGTGGGTTACTTTCTGTGAGACCACGATGCATCCCACTTCAGAACGTCAAATAATTTCATGTATTTTAATGGCTGAAGGAGCAGGCCCCCCAAAGGGTGCCATTAATGAGAGAGCCGCAGATCTTACTGTGAATAGAAGACTACTTAGACCTTCACCCCAAAAAGAGAAATAAAATAAAGAGCAGCAAAGTTAGACAACCGTGACAAGTGATTTAAAAAATATATAGTTAATAAAATTAATGGGATGTGACATGCTCTGAACAGACCAGTTGTGTAGGACTGAGGTTTAAAACGTAATGCGGCTATGTCACAAATGTGATATAAGTATTAGGCCCAGCTTTTTAAACATGTTAGTTCCCCTCATACACAATGGTGAGATTCATTTTGAAGCAGCCACATGAGCCCATGTGCACAGGCCGTCAGAAACTGATGCTGATCAATATCCCAATACAGCATCTCAACCCGCATCTGCTCCTCAGTGACAAGACATGCATTATTAAAAGAACAGAGGTCTGTCAGGAAGCATCCCTGATTCCTATCAGCCCACAAATAGGCATCAACAGTAAACTAAATGATAAAGGTTGAAACTACTTTCAAAAATGGCTCAGAGCAAAAAGTTAAAAAATAAAATCTAACATTTGTCAAGTGTGAGACCTATCATCTTCCTGCTAATGATCTATCATTATTCTTTGTCTTTTACTTTCTTCCTTTTGCCCTTTGGTCATTTGTCTCACAGTCACAATCTACAAGGACGACTTAAGGTCAGAGTAGCCCAGCGAGGTCTAATGACTTGACAGATATCATTGATTGATACTGTGAGGCTGGGAAATCATCTCTATGGAAGGTACACTCATGACTGCAGTGCATCAGCAGTCAATACTGAGAAGGGTTTTTGGCAACTCACTGCCAGGAGTGGCAGTACTCGCCTCCGCTCACAAGCGCAAATCAATTCATCAATATCATAGGCTCAAGCTAAGTCTGGTAGTGTTAGGCAAACTCATTATTTTAAATTCATTCATATTTCAAGAAGTTGCTAAAAATATCACCACTTAAATATTTGTCTCCAACTCTAAACATCAAATGACAAGGAATTACAATTACAAAGTTGTTTTGTGTAAAGATATAATAAATCAAGTTCTGTTTCATCGCAGGGAGAAGAAACCACCTGTGGACCTAAATGGATGTTATAGTCTCATCTGATTCTGCCTACTTTAATTTAATTTAATTGTAATTACATTTAATAAATAACTTACTTTAACTATGCTGTTCCTAAAAAAGAGCGTGAGTGAAGCCTGAGGTTGTTTCAGACTAAATCTAATGACATTTGCAGTAGTTCCTATGGAGGACTGGGAAGCACCTAAATTCAATATAAGCAGGTTATAGCTTTCCAAAACCTAGAAATGTGACACAAAACTATTGATCAGAGTATGTCTAATGTGCATCATTGTATCATACCTTTATGCAGTATACTGGGTCATTTTATTCTAAGCTTACCAGTATTATAAGTAGGTATTATAACTAAAGTTGTAAACAACAAACTATCTGAAATACAGAAAAAAATGAAAGTTAACTGGATGCTTAGCTAAATGCATCCACATTTTTTCTCTGCAAAGAAAAAAAAAGGGAAAAAGAATGATACAGGTTGTTTTTATGTAGTGTTTTTGGAATATATATCATTATGAAAACAAGCAGTCCTTTTCCAAGAATCAGGATAACAAAAAGTAGTAACGGCTGCGGTCAATGTGTGGAGAGTTTTATAGACATTGAATACAAGAGGTCGATGGACGGAGCCTGTATAAATCAAAGGTGTGTGCGGAGCAGCAAGGCTCTATTTGTCTTGCACTGTGGGGGAAGGTATGAGAGATCAATGGGAGGTGACAGCGAATGTGGCATATGACTCTGTGACAACCTGTCCCCTAACTCTGCAGGCCGGGCCAGCACACAAAGCTCACACAAACATACAGGTACATACACCGCCTCTGGTCTCTCCTGTCAACATCAGTCAAGGTGATCCAGAAAGAATTAGCTCACTTGTTTTGTGATATAATGTGTTGGGGGATCCTCTCCTAAGGACTGTCAAGTGTCGAGTTTGATTTTTCTATGCGCCTGGGCTGTGTGCGTGCGTGCATGTGTGTGTGTGTGCGTGTGTTTGTGCACTCCATTAGCCAGCTTTCCTCCTGGCCACCATATGCAGAGCTCTGAGCCCAAGCTGGCTCCATCTGTCGGGTTAATGCTCAGTCTCGGCCCCAAGCAGCTGGCCCCTACAAGCATCATTATTCTAGAAGGAACACACACATACATACACACCCATAGATATGAGAGGAGAAAGACAGACAGGCAGACACACTCGATGAAGCCAAGGATCATCACGCAATGACAAACTCCACGTAATCTGGGAAGGTGTTTCTGAAACTCATTTTGGCTGTCTGAGCAGGTGTCAGATGAATGTTGCCAACATGAATGTATTATTCTCAGTGGTCAGTTGATTGTTGGGTGAGATATTCATCAGTGAAAAGGACAGGAGAGGAGTAGTGAACAGAATGACTAGGGAAGAAAAGAAGGAGGGAAACCGGATAAAATTAGCTACTTGCCTATATCTATTATGTAATAATTTGCTCATCAAAAGTATTTATGCTCCATTAACTTTTCACACATTTACTCACAACAAAATTAAATTGTTTTTTTTAATTTTTTTTATTGAAATTTGATATATTAGGACAATATTCAATATTTGTCTTACCAATAAAAACCTGAAGTGTTGGATGCATTTTTGAATTTCTACTCCTTGAATCAATACTTTGTAGAATCATCATTTGCCACAACTTCTGCTGTGCATCTTTTGAGATATAAATCCACCAGCTTTACACATGTTGAGGTTCACATCTTATTATCAAAATCATCCAAGTTTAGTTATTTCAAGTTTGTCTGTGGAGAGAAGTTTTCAAGTCTTGCAACATATTCTCAAAGGGATTTATGTCTGGACTTTGACTAGGCAATTCAAACATACAAGTTTTGATATAAACAGTTTCATTGTAGCTCTAGATGCATGTCATATGTTTCAATTTATTTGTATGTATAATAACAATTATGTTTATTTATGACAAAAACAAAACAATGAAAGAGATTTAAGTTTGTAATTTTAACAGCACAAAAATGTCAAAATACTTTTGCATTGTATGTGCAATTAACAGTGTGTTAATAGAGCTTTGGAGACAGGATATTTTTAGTTTAGTTAAATGTTCCTCCATTATAAATCTAGTAGGGGGTATATGTATCCCGCCCTCCAATGTGCAATAAAACACACCAGAAAACATAAAAGTAGAGATATTTCCTTTCTGGCTTCTCCATAAATTCCACAGAGTCATTTATTGTCTGCTGTTTGGATTCCTAAGAACACTGCTTATAATTGTGTTTGCTTTGACTGCACTTATACTCACGGTCATTCCTTCAGGCATAATGGAAGTTAAAATAACTCTGTGGCAGAGAATCATATTTAATTATAACTACGGTTTATATTCAGTGAGAATAAATCTGAATTATATCTCAGCTTGTTTTTGGAAGTAAAACCTTACGTTTGTCTTGCAGCAATCAAACAAACAGCTACTGTGTCATAAAGTCTGGGTTATTCTGAGTCCTTTCCAAGAAAAAAAAAATCCTCTTACTTTAGCTTTTTTTCTTTCTTAAAATTCACAGAAACTTCTCCTTCGACAGCAATGTTGCTTAATCCTTGTCTCCAAGCCTCATGTATAGTAACAATCATCAGTGGGTATATGTTTTATTAGAAATGTTGTAGTTTAAAGCTTGATGAAACTTTCAGGAAGGTGTGCTTACTTAATCTGATTCTTAAAAAGATATTTGCGCTTATCTTTAAAACATATTCTGACTCCAAAGTTGTGATGATATGATGACTGTCTTTGCATAATTGTAAACAAAGACAGGTTTGAAAAAATCTCTGTTGAAAGCTAAATTGATGGTGTGGTTTTTCCGAGATCGAGAGCAATTTATTTCTTAAGAATAACAGATGATTTGTAAAGCTTAAGAAATTCTCTGTAGGAATTATTATTTAATGCTGGTTGATAGCAAAAATTAAATAATAAGTTTTGGTTTTTCAAAGTGATTTGCAAAGGTGATTGTTTCTTTCTTAAATCTCAGTTTTGTTGGATCTGTCCAAACTTGATGACAGGAATTTTATAATAAGGGATGAATTGGAAATTATGCCTAATACAAAAAAGTCTTCAGCAATGTTCAATGTCACCTAAACATTTGACAAGTCAGTCATTATTGTTTACATGCGTTTCTTCTTTAGCAGATCAAAATTTCATTTAGAAATTATCAGATTTACTGTAACTGAGGCCTAAAAGCTTTAGTCAAAGCTCTTCAACATAGCAAGACACATCATGTTTACCCCGCCGACCCTCATCCCCACTCACCGAGCTTGCAGTCATGAGCTCAAGGAAACAGACACACAGTACAGATTGCACCTAAAGGACCTATTCATGACCTAATACGATGAGATAAAAGCCTTGCCGAAATGTTAGAAATCTCACCTTTGACAGACCTCCAACATCCAGATAAAAGCAGATAATGAAGACGTTCCAGGCTACCCAAAGTGCGGCCCAAACAGTGTACTGCAGAAGAGACGCAACGATTAGTTGACAACACATTTAGCAGAAACTAACTGAACCTAAACCAAAGTGACATGCTGAATCAATTAGGTTCAACTTAAGAGGATACATGTCTAATCAAAGGCAGAAAATGTTTCAAAATAATTTCTCATTGTTCTATTTTTTGACATCACAAAAAGACAGTTTTTCGGAGACACCTGTGCACATTTGGGACCTAATGTATACAGACAGAGACCTGCCATTTACATATACACGACCTGACATTTATGAAGTTTCCAGTAAGTTTAGCCATTCTGTGTCAATCCTGTGGGAGTTGTGGCTTTTTAAACTGCTGAGGCCGACTGAAGTTCACGACTCAACCATTTAGAAAATTGTACAGTCAGACAGCCAAGTGCTGACAGACACAGAGTGGTACTGGGTGGTATTCACTGACAGAGTCGTCAGAGGAGAGGTTGTGAAATCCTCTGACTCATGATGAAATATGTACTTAAAGTGTCAGAGTGAGAGCAAAGGACAAAGCTGCAGCACCATAAAAACATGCGTGTTGAATCGCAAAGCCCCTTAGCTCAAGTTCTCCTATTTTCCACTTGACATGAGAGAATAGCTTCGACTTTCCCTCCTTCCGCTCCTCCTTTCACCTCATGCTTCCTCTGATTCTGCGGCTTATCCGGTGTAGCTTCACTGTAGGCTTCTTTATCTTTCCTGCCTCGTTTTATTTACTCTCCTCTCCCCTTTTCCAATATTTTCCTGTTATTAGCATCGCCATCTGTGCTCAAAATATGCGTTTTAATGCCTATTATAAATAGAAAAGTGTCAAATAAAAGCTGAAGCATGTAAAAGCTCTTTCCTAATAATTCACAGTATATCCTAAACACTGCATCATGTGCTTTTTTTTCTGATTAGGAACTCAAAGCAAAGTTTAAATCAGATTAACTCCTGAGTCCCCCAACCAAGGTTTCACCCGCTTTAATTAGCCCAAATTACCAGGGGATTACAGTCATTTAATAGCTTTTCACAATCCACAAAACATTTCACCACAGTCTGCAGTTTCACAGGAAAGTGACAAAACCTACAGAACTCTGTGCACACAGCCTGAGAGCTTAGTGCTAATGCAGAACTGTTTGAAAAACACAAAGAAAAACATGAATAAAAATCATCAAGAAAACATTCAGGCCACTGAATTATCTACTGAACTTGACCACTTCTAAGGTCAGAAAAAGAGATAACATCCAGGAAGTGGCGGTTGTGTAGAGGAAAATGCCTTGTTGGTGTCAGAGGGCTGACATCAACAACCGGCTGCCACTCCTGTCAGCCAAAAACAGGAAACTGAGCCTCCCTTTCAGACAGGATCATGAAAACAGTTTGGAAAAAAAATGTTTGCCTGTTCCCTTGATTTCAACTGGAACATCTAAATGGTAACAGCAAAATTTGGCATAAACAACATGAAGACCCCCATCCGTTCTGCCTTGTATGATCAAGTCAGGCTGGTGGTTGTGTAATGAGGTGGGGAATATTTCTTGGCACACTTTGAGCTCTCTACCAGCTAACCATGGTTTAAATCCCACAGTGAGTATTGCTGCTGAGCATGTTCATCTCTTCATGACCACAGTATAACAATGTTCTGTTAAATATCATGGTTAGTAACAGACTGGTTTCTCGAACATGAGTGAGTGTCATGGTCTCCAAATTTCCCAAATTTAAATCTAATTGGGATAAATCTTTAGATGACAAAACTGCATGATGCAACCATGTCAATATAACTGAATTAACATTTAGTTACATGTAAAGAAGCCAATAAATGTACAGACCAAAAAAAAGTATGCACCCCTTTTTGATCATTAACCTTTATTTGTCGCTTTTACAAATTGATCAGGATAAAAAACAATTTGGGGAAATTGGCTTTTATGACAAAAATATTGGAAAAACCTTTAATGTCAAAGTGAAAACCGATTTTGGCAACATAAATAAAAATATTAACAGAATATGAGATTACATAAATATCCACCCTCTTTAAGTCAGTATTTAGCAGAGGCACATACGGCTGGAACACAGCATGGATTCTGTGTGGACAGCTCTCAGTCATATACAAACACTGCAGCTTAACGCCATTCGTTCTTTGCTAAAACTGTTCAAGCTCAGTTAGACTGCGTGGGGATCGGCTCTAAACAAGCTTTCCAGACACAGGTGTTGAATCTGTGTCTGGAAAGCATTGATTTCAACGGGGTGAATATTTAGCAATCACTTGTTCAATGTTAAATATTTCACTTTTGATGAAATCTGTCTTTACTTTGAAATTAAGAGGTTTTTTGATCATTATTAATCAGGATCTTATTAATCAGGAGTGATTTGAAGGATTAAAATGGTGAACTTCTTTTATTAGGTAGTGTAGGGTTCCAGTTTGCTTTACTCACCACAACAATGTATCGTGGCCGGTACTGGATGGTTCCAAAGAGGCCCAAGATTACAATGATGATATGGAAAAAGTTTGCAAGAATGGGAGCCCATTGGTAACCAAGGAAGTCAAACACTTGTCTCTCCAAGGCCAACACCTGAAGAAAGCAAAGATATAAGACTATTAGAAAATATATGTTTACATATATATAATTACATTTTTTTACAAATACATTTTTTTGTTGGTTTATGGTCTGACATCCGAGGCCATTTGTTTGAATGTTTGAGGGTGTTTCCTAAGGATGTCCTAAAGTGTATACCGTACATGCCAGACAAACTATAAAAAATTTTGTCAACACTTTAATTTCCAGATGAAGGTGTTTTTAAAAACAAATTGGTTCTTAAGGGTGGAGATTTCAAAACTCAAAGGTGTAAATGTTTCTTCATTCCACAAACAATTACTGCAATCATTGTGCAAATTTTTCAGTTCACACTTTAAAAAGAATAAAGGGTTTGTGTATTTTCTGGCAGTTTGCTTTTTCATTTGAAATGAAAAATAAAACAACAGAAATAGACTTGTTTTTTCGTTTATTAAATCAAAGATTTTCAGTTTTCATTTCAAACGAAAAAACGAACTGCGTGAAAATACACGGACCATAAAGCATTATTAGACGTTTATAATGGTTTCAATTCAAATGAGGTTGCCTATGTCGATGTTTCGATGTCTTTTGCTGCTTCTGCTTCCTCAGTCCAACTGTTTTCAGTGGTTATGCCTCAATTTTATTTTACTGTCAGTCAAAAGAGTTATTTCCCCTTCAGGGAAAAAATAAAAGTCCCTCCAAATCTAAAAATAAATCTGAATCAAATAAGTTGTTGATACACGTTTTACTTGTTGATTTTTTTATAGTTTAGGAAAAATCCAAACTGAATGAGTTCAACAAAATTGGATGCATTGCTGAAAACTATTTGGTTTATTATGTTAAATTATCCAAGTGTCAGCAGGTCAAAATGAGTGAGTGAGCATATATAAACATTTCTCTACATAACATTGTTAAAAGTCATTTCAAGAAACTATGTGTTTCTATGAACAAGCCAAGGATCTTGTTCAGACAGACTCAACAGCAACAGCCCAATTTTTTAGCTCCCAATGATGGAAGCAGCCACAGGGGAGGACTGGAAGTTTTGTTAAACCAATAACGACAGACTTATTGATGTAATTCTGAGCTAAAGAAGAGATCATCATTTCTAACCTTTCTGTCAATGGCTCCCAGCGATGAAAACACTCTGGGAACTTTATGGGACATGAAGTTTATCATAACTTGCATTGATTTTAGGTCTTTATGAAAAAAAGACAACATGCACACATTTACGCAGCACACACAAGCAATAGCAGAATGAAAAAAAATTCACAGTGGAACTCGTTGCTGCAGAGTTGCCTGTTTTATCTTAGTTTTTGTTTTTCCATCAGAAAAGAAACTGCAATTTACTTTTTCCTTAGCCTTGCACAAGATAATCTCCCATCTTTATTCATTTTTATTTGAATCCACATCTAAGTGCAAATTATTTTTTACAACAGAAATCAAAAACATAAGAAAAAAGAATCCATCAGCATACCATTTAGGGAAAAATACATAAAGAGGTTATATACCATTGAATTAAAATTCCTGTTCCGATCCAATCCCACTTCATCCCGAGAGTGTGTGTTGTTTATGTTTGTGCACTAGCGTGCTCAAAGAAACGGTGTCATTCAGCGCATCCTGACATGTCACTTACAGCCAAATGTTTGAAGATGGATGAGGGAGGAAAGAAATGTCGTCTCTGCTGATACAAGTAGGAACACACACCACTGAACACGCACACACACATAGCACTCCCTGCTCATCCTCATGTAGCAGAGCAGGTGACAGCAATTTGAACGCAGTGATATTGGAGGGAGATGATTGAATCCGGAGTGATAATTAAAAAATATTTATACAGGTAGGGAGTGAAGCAGCAGAGGATGCGGTGATTGAGCCATAGTGCGCATTTAGCTGAATAAAGTGAAGGAATGCCTTTGCTGTAAAACTGAGATAAAGCATAGCCGCTTCTGCAAGAAACCATAAGATGACAGAAAAAAAGGAAAAATAAGGGAGGGAAAACAAAAAAAAAAAAACTATGGTTCCAAAAATATACAGCTAACTTAAACGACAAAGGTCATCTCCACTTTCTGAATCTCACAGAGTAAGACCATGTGTAGCTCATGCATACGGTGAAATGCAGGTATGGGGATTATCATTTTCTTTGAATGTCAGAAGGTCAGTCTTCCCCACTATTAGGGGAAATTGTTTCCCTAAAATATTTTCAAAAAGAAACTATGATAATTTCTTCTTCCATTTTATTCTTATTTATTTGACTGAGGTTGGTCTTGCAACACGCTCTGATTCTTGACAGAAAAGCCATCCAAAAGTATTTAAAGATTTCACCATCGGGGTTTGGCGTTTCATCACGGCAAGTCATTCCACCCGTTGTTTTAAGATAAAACATAACGTGATATTCGGACTTATGAAAGACCAGTATAAGAGCATTATGAAATACTGTCTTCCCGATCAAAACTGGATTTGGAAATGTTAAAACATAACGCTTCACTAGTTTCCCTGACTTCAGTACTACTGAAAATGTATAGGCTATGTTTAAAGCCAAGACACTCTCCAAAATAAACAAGTTCTACAAAATCTTTCAGGAAGTGCGGCTGAATGATAACCACACTAATCCGGTGGATCGACTTTTTGAAAATATAAATATCATGCTTAAAACGGAATTTCTTGCTAATAAAATGCATCAAGTAGGTAAATCCTGAGTGAATTTGAGAAAATCTGAACATTAAAATTTAATCTCATGGACCTAATTTCTGTTTTTAATTGCAATGTATGCTGAATTCAACACACACATATCTATTCCTTCCTCTGAAATATTTCCACCAGCTATTGAATTAAAGATGTGTGTAGGCCTAAGAAATGTTAGCCTGTGTGGTCTCCCCTAAGACATGCTGCAGTAAGCCCATCACATACGCAGCTAACTCAATAATCCGCCGAGATGACAACAATCAATCAAAGAAAAAAAAAAAGGGCTTCTGCCCACCCAGACACACAATCAGGCATGCACAATCACACGAAACCCATACGGCACAATTAGTCCACAATTCATGGGAAGTAGGCTGCTGGAGAGTGGGGCGGAATTTGATCAAAAGATACCAATGCTCTTCCAGGAATAAAGTGCCGGCTACATAACCGGCCCGTAAAAGCCTTCCACCGACCTCCGGCGAGCACAAATCACTCCCTATGGAGCGACGGAATCCCTTTCTGTGCATTTTGGGTTTGAGTGTGTGTCTGTGTGGAGAAGCAAGCTGCCCACATAAATGACTCCTCCCAAGATAAATACCCAGGGCAAGAGTACAGCAGGATGCAACAAGCCTCTTCCGCCCTTTCGCTACATTCATCGTCATCTCTGCTCTCACTTTGGCTGTTTTCTTAATCTATTTATAACTCTCCCAAAACACATCACTCACTCAGTTCTTGAGCCACGTGATGCCAGATTAGCATCACAGAGCTCAATCCTGCTCTTTCTGTCAGATTATATTAGCCGGCGTGTACACTCAGGTGTGCATAAAGTGGCAAGCAGAGCAGAAAGGGAAATTCGAGTCGACAGTTTTTCTCACCATAATCCCCAAAACATTTCAGGCATCACCGCCTTCTTTGACATGAAACGAAGGAGAAGAAGACGAATGATGAGCAGATCAGAGCCAGCGGAAGAGAGAAAAATAGGGAAAACAGGAGGAAAGAGCACTTGATCTGCATAGTTGGAAAGCTAATTAAGAAATGCATGTGTACCCGCGATAAGCAGCTGAAATTCTAAAAAAATAAATAAATAAAAATCCAGCCTGGGTTTCAATCAGACACTAAGCACATTGCAGTCTTTGTTCACAACAGGTAGGAGACGTTGTAGATGAGGTGGTGACTGCACCGCTCCCTCGGAGCGAGAGGACACCTGCGACTGGTGACCCCTCTCATTTCCACACCTCTCCACCTTAGCCTGCAGATATTATGAATCCCATCAGTGCCTCTCTTTCTCTGGGAGTCTTCTGTCAAATGTCCTCAGGTAACGTGTTACTGGCTGTGTCATCAGGATGTGTGAGCGCGTGCCTGCCTGTGTGACTTCAGGCAGCATGACTCACTCTCCTCCTTGTTCAAGGGTATGACTCTGATACAGAGGGGATGACAGTGAGCAGACGAGACAGATGTGAGGGGCCGCTCTTAGGACAGATAATTATTTGGGGTCTCTTTTTTTTTTCTCCCCTCTCTCGCTTCAACAAATGGTTGATTTTGTGTACGTTCAACAGATTAGCCGAATTGGCCAAGGCTGAAAAACTAAAACACAAGGGTAAATGATATATCATTCCCAAATGATTACAGTCGTTTCATGGTCCTCTTTCCCTCAAGCTGGTATTTTATGCGCTGCCTCTAGTTGCTGAATAAAGATTTTTTTAAAATGCATACCTTGGTACATTAAAAAAAGCTAGTTATGCTCTGATTCATCCTTTTATTCGCCACTGCTTGAGTTTGTTTTTTTTTGTTTTTTTAAGTAGGTCCTTCTTTTATGCGTGAAAAGGAACGTTCTTCTTTAGTGAAGCTTCCTCAGCAATCAGTGCTTCTGAATTCCGGAAGATAAAATCACCTTGATGAGGCGAACAAGGTCAAAGGTTCACATCTAAGTTAATGAGGTTATTGATATTAACTCATTTTGGTTGGTAAAAACTGGAAACCTTGATTTCTTGTGAAAAGAGCAAAGTCAGTTACAAAGTAACACATTACTGACACCAGACCACTGTTTTCAGTAACGAGTAATATAACGCATTACAATTTCAAATCTAGTAATCAGGTTAAAGTTGCTTACCCAAACCACTGTGCGTCACTGCGCTACTATTACGCTACTAATTTGTACAACCACCATATCACAGCCCCACTGTTAACCTTTAGACACCAACGTTGCAAAGGGTGGGATTGTGACTTCCAAATAAAAGACTAAATTTACTAGGGCTCCATAATGACATAAATACATGGCTGTTGCAAAATAACTGTATGCACGATTCATTGCTTAGACAACAACAAATATTAGCAAATTA